ATTATGAATCTCGCCCTTCCTCGCATCTCTGCGTTTGCCACTGTGCGTCGTGACATGCCGTTCAATTTATTTAATTTTTTTTTAAACTATTTATCCAATCGACATTCTAAACAAACCGACATGTTCTCTGATGTTTGGTCTATAACTTTTATAGAAAGCCATTTTTTGCTAGACCCAATATTTTTCGGGGTAGAGCGAGGAGAAACGATTTTAAAAATATGGGTTTTTAGACTCATTCTAAGTCATTTTATATGAAGGCACTCCGTATACAACAATGGTTTGACGTATTTTTATAAATAAAATAAAATTATTTCTAATGTCCGGATCGATATGCAAATTTGAAGAATGAATTTTCGGATATCGTAGATCCGAAAAATGACGAAAAACAAATTAGCATTTTTTTTTGTAAGGCTCTCCACCACTCCCCTCGCGCTACGATTTTTGGACGACAAAGTGATTTTGCATTAGAAAGATATTAGAAACGAATAAAAATAGGTTTTGCATTTTAGCAACAAAGTGCCCACCAAAATCTATTCTAGAAGCCTTTTTCCAGTCTTATTTACTCTTCAGTATGGAATTGTATTTACTCTTGTACAAAACTAATATTTTTATGTTAAAACACGATTAGAATGTTAAAATGATATCTTTTGTTATAGGTACAGATAAACTGTTTAGTTTAAATAATTTCCCCTTTTTAATTTTGTACATAAATAATAAACAAAAACAGCTTTGAGAATAGATTTCACAAATTCAATAAAACAGAGCATTTTAGTAATTCGGTTTATAAAGTTTATGTTGAATTATTTAATAATATACATAAAAATTATAATCATTACTTAGCTTCTGTTATCTTTGAATTTTGTTTCACTACTTCAACTGACCGCTGCCCTTGCAATATTTTTAAAATACAAAACACCATAACCGCAAATTACTTTACTGTTTGAGTAGGAAATATGCAATACAATACGAGCTCCGGTCGCTTGACTAATACTCTTTAGAGCTGGCAACAGTGTCTGATCTCGCGTTGATCTGTAAATATCTAAAATTTCGTATAAAGGTCTTCCCCTTCCCTTTTCAGCTACGGATCTCATTTTGTTGTAAATTTATCAAAAAAATTTAAGTTCAAAAATCTTTTCCCCTCTAAGTGTGCCATAATTAACATGTTAATTATAAAGATAGTTATGAACAATATACTCCATTAATTAATTTCCTATTGGTGGATCTCGGGTTGTCCTCGATTTAATCGGATCTCGCCTTGATATGAAGACGTATATATATATATATATATATATATATAGATATATATATATATATACATATATAGATATATATACATATATATATATATATATATATATATATATATATATATATATATATATATATCCGGTTTTTTTAGGCGTTACGCCCGTCCGGTAGGGATCTATGGAGGAGTATCACCAAGCCGCAAGCCCTTATCTCTTGCCGTACTGCTCCACCATAGGCCGATCAGATCCCAGCATATCCTAGTCTAAGCCGCAGATTCATCTAGAATTTTAAACTGCTGCGTTAGACTTTTTGTTTTCAGTACACCGAGCTGGGGCTCGAACCCACATCCACTGAACCATTCGACAGTGAAGCGAATGAGAGGCAGCCGCACAGCCCGCTGAGCTATCTGACCAACAGTTGGAGACATGACGACTTGTCAAATCTACAACAGCGATATAAGTATTGTTCTGAAGCTATTTTCTTGTGGCATTGTAAATTAATTACTATTTATAACTGGGAATAAGCCACAATTAAAGATAAAAATACGTTTATTGACGTTTCAATTTCCAATTCGGAAATCGTTCTCAAAATACAAACAGTAAATTTACTGTCAAAATACAAACAGTAAATTTACTGTTTGTATTTTGAGAACGATTTCCGAATTGGAAATTGAAACGTCAATAAACGTATTTTTATCTTTAATTGTGGCTTATTCCCAGTTATAAATAGTAATTAGCGATATAAGTGGCAAAAACCCGTCACAAACCTAGAAAAAGAAGAAGTGTAGATAATAAGGGAGGATGATACCTACCTCGCCGAGGAAATGGCCACTAGCGAAGATAATCGAAAGACATCCCGGAGTTGAAGGTTTGACAAGAGTCTCAATAGTTCAAAAGGAGAACGGAGAAGTAACTACTCGTCCAATACACAAGTTAATACCAATACTACGAGAGCCCACCTCACGAAAGACAAATAGAGCACGTAGTATGTGGAGAAAATATATGTTTTGCGTCCTATTTTTAGTATTTTTGAAGCCATCAAAGGCGGATTTATACAAAATTTATAACCCATACACCGGATTATATTCAGAGCATCTAAGGAATGTACACATAGATCGAGGGATATTTAGAATAAAAACTCTCCAGAAAAGAAAAAAAAAAATAGATAGTGAAAAACAACAAGAACAGGAGCAGTCCTTATATCAGTATTCGGGGTAAATGATGAAGTGTACAGGGACATAGATTCCTTCAACGAAAATCAGAAATATCTAATAAAAAATTCAAAACATCTGATGCAGCTGATGTTACAACAATATCTTTATAACTCTACAGAAGAAAGAAAGAACGGACATTTAAATAGGTTTCGAGAAGCACTAATAAACGGAACTAAGGAAATGTATAAAGGCCTAAGTTACGTCTCGAATGCTACAAGGACAAAAAAAAGTTTAGTTTAGTTTTAGGCTTAGTATTAGTAGAAAACCGGGCGAAAATATCTTCTAACACCGCGGACGAATTATAGTGGCAAGGAATAGTTTAGTATCTATTCATAGTTTAAGGGTCTTCTACCCACCAATAGACGCGCGATACTGACCTCATTGCGACACACATATTCACATAATGCGAAAATACAAAGAGAACCTTAAGTTCTCGTTGTATAGCCAAGATTTTGGCTTTGGCCCTTAAGGCAGGTCTATTTGGGAGACCAGCAACGCGACTCCTGAGCACCGAGGCCATGTGCGACAAGCATGGGCTCGGTGGCCAGATCAGTCGGGTGCTCAGCTGGCGAGGAGAACAAATTAAATTTTACCAAATCGGCAGCTGAGTGACCGAACACTCACTTTCCCTGTGGGAAGGGGCACCAATCTAGGTTGGCGCCTCTTCGTGTAGGGCACACACTTTCCTAGGGACATCAGGTCCAAAGTAATGCTAACGCCAAAGTAAATTCAGTAAAGTAACTAGGGAGAAAAGCTTATAGCTACCCCTTGATTTTAGGTGACCCAACCACAACCTTGTAGATACGGAGGGTGTTGTTTATTACCCAAATTGCCCGACGTAAAGTTCATAAGCCTGCGCTGCGTATGTCAGACGTAGTGAAGGGGTGCAGGAAAAACCTGGGGGTCAGATAGAGGGTCAGATAGGGGGTCAGATAGGGGGTCAGATAGGTACCGATCCAGAATGATTAATTCTTCTGGGGCGAGACCGGTTTGATCTTCGGACATGTGGATCCCACTGACTAGCAGTGGTATACACATGTCACTAGGGGTTCGGTTGAACGCATCGCGCGCGCGCGCGTGTGTGTGTGTGTGTGTGTGTGAATGCTACAAGGTTCCTTCCACAAGGAGTAGATATAAGAAGGCAGCCAATAGTAGATACGGTCGTACAAAATGAAGAGGGAGATATCGTCATTATTGGCTATTTCCTAATAATTGATAACAGTAGATAAAACCTACTGAGAGTCACAGCTCTTCATTAATATGGATACATTATGGAATTATTAATATGGATACCCAGCCAAACTGTATCTTAAATAAATTATATGATACAACTACCAACACCACCTATAATATAATAGAGTACATGATAAAGGAAGCCAGTTGGTTGAAAATGAGCACACCGAATCTCTACTAGTGATTCCACCATACGTTATAAATTTAGCTATAATGTGTGACCGTTCTCGATCTAAACATGTAATCAATCAAACAAGTTTTATAAAGCTGTCACCAAAATGCGTTGCTCAGACCCGAACCATAATATTACTCACATCCAGTAATGGATTGGAAACAGCAACTGGAAGTTATTTAAAGACTCCCGTCAGTCCCATTGAAGCGCTTATGCGGAGGACAATCATAAAGCAGATCAACATTCCCAGACATAATATAGACATTCGTAGAGATGAGTTACCAAATATTGTACTTGAGGCTGAGCAGTTTGACCAAGATATATCCGCGCACACGTGGAAAACCATTGCTAACCATTAGTCGATTCCTAATTTAACCACTGGACTAGTCACTAAATTCATGTTAATTGCCATTAGCCCCTCCTAGATCAGTTTTACTTAATGAGCTTAGATTTATATTAAATAGGTTAGCTTAATCATAAATTCAAAAATCGAGTGAATTAATATTATGATTATTGTTATATTATTATTTTCTGTTATATATGTTTAGATACTTTCTATTGGTCGTCTGTTCAACAGTTTACAGTTTGTTGTATAGTGGCCAATATGTTCAATCACAAATTAATCCCTTAATTTGTAATCTCACATTATTCTTAACTTCTTAACCTTTTATAGTTTCACCGTGTATAATTGAAACATTGTGAAACCTATCGAGTAATATTTTAATAATTAGAGTACACTCACCTGCAAACATGCAAACTTAATAAATTGCCAAATAATATATATTCTAATTGAACTTCCCAAGTGTTGCAATAACGGCCTAGATTGAATTGTATTGAAAGCTCATAGTTTAAAGTTTGTTAGTATGATAGAAGCATTAGCTTCTGAGGTATATTATTTGTGAAATTATAAATTGGGGATTTGAGCTTATTATCACCAGAGTGTAATTATCAGTAGCTGTCAATAAAACTATATTTTACTTCACACTTCAACCATTTATTTACCATCGTCGATCGAAAAGAATCGGACAAAGGGGCATTAGAAAACAATTAGATCCTGATATTAACATCGAATTGTCTAAGAAGACTTCCAATTTTTTGAGCTTGTATTATATGAGGAGTTATACTTAAAATTACCTGTAACTTTGTCCACATTGTTCACAGACGAAGGGCTTCTCTAACGAGCTAATAGATCCAATGTGCTGCAGAGCTGTATGTTGTTCCAGCAACCATAGTGAGGGAAATGCGGCCATACATGAGGAACAACGAAACATCTCTTCTCCTAAGAGCGCGCTATGCATTAAACCAACCTCCAGAAAGGACGTTGGTAGAGTGGGAAAAGGTAGTGCAAAGGGGGTCGAAGATCTGCTGCTTTGGGTGCTTGAGGGACGGTCTGGGACGGGCGAACCAATGCATCGGTCGGTTTCACGATCGGTTTCCATGGAGCTCTGTAAATAAAATAAAATACAGTATAAAAAGTAATAAGTTGTATAAAACATTTCACATACTTAGGGTAGGCATTGCAGAGGAATGATAAAATGGATGAAAATAAATGCAGTGAGCTAAATAATAAAAAAAACAGGATTATAAGAATACACTAATATATACCAATACTCGTATATGAGTGTAAGGGAGAAAATTAAATCAAAGTGTATGGAGGAAAACAAGAATACCTTATATATAAGGGGTACAGATCTAAAAAGAGCTAGGTCGCCAAATCTTTATTTCGTACAACACAAATTTAAATTTTAAAACCATTTATTGATAAATTATTGATGGTTATCGTGAACTCTGTTAATTAGATAGTTACTTGGGTAATTCATGAGACACACCCAAAAAATTAAACTTATATTATTGGCCTAAAGAGGTCAAGTTACAAAAAAGAAATTAAAATGACAAATAGACAAAAGTTATTAATATGACATAATTCTAGTTCTTGGTCAGGTTATCAAAAAGTTGTTCTGCTTCGTCACCACAGAATAGTTTTAAATCTTGAAGGCATTTAATTTTTTTAGCAAAGATTGGCATCAAAGATAGACTAGGCCATACTGGACATTTTCCATAGGAAGCTATTTTTGCTGGAATCCCTTCAGAATGTGTCCAATATCGATAATCACGATATGCGCCAATCGCAAACACTGTGCTAAATTTTTTATTTAACAAAATCTGAAAAAAATTGAAAATTTCTCAGTTTTTTGCTCCTATTTTCGTTTATAATTCAGAAAATATTGATCCTAGAGAAAAATTAAAATAGGTTAAATGTTTCGTTATTCAATTTTACACACTATTTCGTTATCTAGAAATTGAAAATTTAATACTTATTGTTGAAAAAATAGCAATAATTGGAAAAAAAAGTACAAAAAAATGAAGTTAATCCTTTAAATGTTTTCGACTTTCTAAACTTGACTTACAAGCTCCATATTCCGCCTATAAAAACTTTTTATTATGTTTAAAACGTGTAATATTTTTTTTTAAGATAGGTTGGGTAGGATTTGTATAATAATTTTGCAATCCAACCTACTGGAAAAAAAATCGCAAATTTTCTAATTTATAGTAGGCCCTAAGAAAGTTGCAATTTTTTTTACTTATAAAGGTAGGCTCAAACTTTCAAACGATTTTTATAAAATTCAAAATTGTACACTGGGAGAGCCTAGATTTTTTTTTAAATTTTAAACATTTTTTAGGCTTATAAACAAACTGAATAACTTTACGAGCTTTAAACATATCAATTTTAAAATTTATACACTTAAAGAACATTAAAAGGCGCTTCTTAAAAAAAAAGATACATTCGGCTTACTGGTTGCCGAGATATTAAAGGTCAAAGTTGGCATACATTTGCCGTGTAGCCATAAGTGATAGAGGGCTCGTTTTTAAACAAATACCCTCGTCTAGTCAAGTACTTCTTATATAAAAAGTTTTACGTAATGCGCTTCATGGCAACATCCATAAAAAAGACAAATAAAAAACCATTTTCGCGTAAAATGTTGCTCGGAATGCATGAGAGGTGGTGGTGGGGGACGTTCACTCGAAATGTGAATCGGCGAGTTCAAAATCATAGCGCGCGCTAAAAATTACATTATCTCGGCTTCATGTTAACTAATTTTGCTCTTTTTTTTTTTAAATCGATGTCTCGGACGACAAGGATTTAAAATATCATATTTTCAAATACCATTTTTAATTGTAAATTGGGAAATTTGCAATAAACAATGGTATGTTAAACAAGTAATTGCATTTTTTCTTCATGCATTTTTTTGCATGAATGAATGAGCATGAATGAGTTTGCAATTTATACATTGAAGTAAATTGTTACTTTTAGTAAACAACTATGTATTTATAAATTGTTAATAAATAATTTGAATTGTTAAAACAAAGGCGAACGAATTTTTTTTTATAAAAATCAAACTTTTTAAAATAATTAACATTAATAATAATTTATTTCTGCAGTTTTATCATAATAATGACAATTATTTGATTTGAAAATATATTTTGATTCGAAAATAACGTGTATATTGTTTGTACGTGTCCTCTATCACTTTGGTTACACGGCAAATGTATGCCAACTTTGACCTTCAATATCTCGGCAACCAGTAAGTCGAATGTATCTTTTTTTTAACAAGAAGCGTCTTTTAGTGTTCTTTGAGTGTACAAATTTTGAAATTGATGTTTAAAGCTCGTAAAGTTATTCAATTTGTTTATAAGCTTAAAAAATGTTTAAAACTTTTAAAAAATTTCTAGGCGTTCCTAGTGAACAGATTTGAATTTTACAAGAAGCGTTTGAAAGATTGAGCCTTCCTTTATATGTAAAAAAATTTGTAACTATCTGAGGGCCTTATTTAGGGCCTACTATAAATTAGAAAATTTGCGATTTTTTTTCAGTAGGCTGGATTGCAAAATTATTATGCAAAACCAATCCGACCGACCTTAATAAAATTTAGCACACGTTTTAAACATAATAAAAAGTTTTTATAGGCGGAATATGGAGCTTGTAAGTCAAGTTTAGAAAATCGAAAACATTTAAAGGATTAACTTCATTTTTTTGTACTTTTTTTTTCCAATTATTGCTATTTTTTCAACAATAAACATTAAATTTTCAATTTCTAGCTAACGAAATATTGTGTAAAATTGAATAACGAAACTTTTAACTTCTTATAATTTTTTCTCTAGGATCAATATTTTCCGAATTATAAACGAAAATAGGAGCAAAAAAATAAGAAATGTTCAATTTTTTTCAGATTTTGTTAAATAAAAAATTTAGCAGAGGGTTTGCGATTGGCGCATATCGTGATTATCGATATTGGGCACATCCTGAAGGGATTTCAGCAAAAAATAGCTTCCTATGGAAAATGTCCAATCCAAAACAGATCCCGCCTAGACTAATAATATAAGTGTTCTTCACAATTTTTTATATATACGTTGTTGAATTGACTACTATTTTTAAAGTGTGGTGTAGTGTTTAATGTGTAAAGAATTCTAAGAAATTGAGTATAAGGATTCTTGTCACAAATGTGTTGTTTTCTTAATTTTAATATCATTACAACGACAATAAAAATAAAATGTACATTACTATAGACATAAACAGTAACATAGTACTCAAGGACAATGTAGCGAAACGGCTCTGAGAGATGTTTTCTAAAGATAATGTAAAATAAACGTTAAGCGAATAATATAGACATACCATTGTTCTGCTAAATATATTAATATTTTTTACTAAATAGTAGTATGGTTACTAGATAATATACAACCTTATTTTTGATGTTGATGATCAAAATAGAGATGACCTATTAAAATTTTGCAAATAATATCAACCGTAATTAGCTGTGCAGTTAATTAATAGTTATAGACTTAACAATACATAAATATAATTTGATAAAAAAGTTTGGGTATGTGTGCTCAATTTAGATTGATTTTCTTTCGAATCCTAATCGTCATGTGTTTTTACCATAAATTTCCTAAGAACTCTAGCAATGAAGCTTCTTCTAGGTTGTCCCTTTTTTTCTTAGAGGACAATTATGTCATAATTTTTTGACTAATCTCGTAGCGTGATTCTTTGAACACCATACCATACTACTTTTTTTATCAAATTTTTTTATTGCTCCATTTTATTTAATAATTTGTACCGTTAGGAACAATCAGTCAAAGTTATGGCTTTCTTAAAATAGGACATGTACGTAAGAATTCCAATAAAAACTTCCCTTTCTAAATTACCAACAATGTATAAATAGTACTTCTTCTTCTTAACGTGCCTTATCAAGTCCCCTTGACGTTGGCGATTAACATGGCGAAACTGTCTCTGTCTGGAGCTGTTCTAAAGAGTTGCGCAGTTTTCCTTATTCCTGTCCACTCCCTGATATTCTTCAACCAAGAGGCCTGCTTTCTACCAATTCCTCTGCGTCCTTCGATTTTACCCATCATAATAAGTTGAAGAATATTATATCGGTCTCCCCTTACTCCGTGTCCAAAATAGGCCATCTTTCTACATTTCATGTTATCAAGCAGCTCGCGAGCAGCATTTGCTCTCTCAAGGACTGCCACATTTGTCAGCATAGCCGTTAATGGAATTTTTAGTATACGTCTGTGCAGCCACATTTCAAAGACCTCCAGACGATTAATGGTGGATATTTTTAATGTCCATGCTTCGACACCGTATAAGAGGACTGACCAAATGTACCATTTAACCATGCGCTTTCGAAGTTAAAGATAAATAGTACTAAGTAAAATAAATTAACATTATTTCTCCAATTTGTTAAACTGTTTGTTCGGGTTATTAGGCCGTTGTCTTCTGAAATTAGTTCTCGACGTTTCGCCAACACTAGGGGTTGGCATCTTCTGGAGATGTTAACGCTTCGCTTGTAAGCAGAAACTGACGCTGCGTTGTGTTGTCTTGTCTTCACTGTTGCGTTGGTTTTTTCTTTGGTTTGGTGTGCTTCTTTTGTTGGGGTTTTGTCATCCTGTTTTAGGCTTTTGCCTCTTCAGGATGTGGTTTTTGTCTTTTTTGGTGTTGGCTTCTGGTTTTTCTTTCTTCGTGGTCCACTGGTGGTGTTCGGCCAGGACAATCAGCGGAGAAAGGCAGTGGTCGGTTCTTTTCAGAATTTGATTTCTAAAATAGTTAGTGAATAATTAGTGTTTGTTAAATTAATATATGTACAGAATGAGATATTAATATATGTATAAATACATGCATTAATATGTTATAGTTAGTAAATGTGTTTAACGCGACGCAAGAGGGCAGCTGCGGCTGTATCCTCAAAATAGACAGGTATCATTTGCAAGTGGGATCGGGAAACCGCAGAAAACCGATCCCCCCCTGTCTAGGCAAGCTCGAAGTGAGCAATTTAGCTAGGAATGCGACGGAAATAGAGGGGAGTTGCCTCCTGTATGTCAAGTTGTGTTGTAATACGGAGGCAATATTTATATTTCCCACTCGCCTCCCCTCCACTGGTTT